ACTAATAACCTTATTGCTAGCATGTACCATGTCAAGTTGACCTCCACACAGTTCCCCTTGGAAACTATCGTGATAAATTCATGGTGAATTCACCACGTTGGACTAACTGACCTGACCTCATGCTCTTTTCGTCCTCCACTACTGCCCTGCCAGCATAAACCAACAACGGAATGTCAGATATTTTATTCCTACTAAGTTTATTATAGTACCTTTTCAAATTAAATTTATACTTTGCAAATTATTACAATAATTATAATTTTCTACCAGAAAATTTTCCGATTGGGCTTTGTTACCTTTTGTAAGTGTAATAACACCATTAAAATTATATAGGTATAAAAAGTAGAGGAAAAAAACTGTAATAACATCTATGACTTGTAGGTATATTATATAACCGTATATGTTTGTCCTTGGTGTTCTTTAAAGACAAGTTTTACTAAAGTCACGCGTGTACAATGAACAACTTAAATGTACTTAGGTACAATATGTTTATGTAAATATTACCTATTGCTGTTACAAGATACGCACATTTTATCTAAACATATATAACTCAAAGGTGACTGCTGTAGTGATCTATTAACGCACAGCCCAAACCACTGGACGGATCGGGCTGAAATGTGGCATGCAAGTAGATGTTATGATGTAGGCATCCGCTAAGAAAGGATTTTGATTAACTCTACCCCCAAGGAGATAAAATAGGGGATGAAAGTTTGTATGAAACTTTGTCAATTTTAAACCGATCGGGCTGAGACTGCATGCATAAAGCTACTATGACATAGGCATCCCCTATTTTTTACACACGCTAAACAAAAGTAAAGCCGCAAAAACTACACCTACACCTTAATAATAATACTACTATGCGAGCGAAGCCACGGGCAAAAGCTTGTTATTTATATAAATCTATAAAAGCATAAACTTTGTACACCTTTTTAAGAAAATTGCGCAGACGAAGGTGTATCAAATTTCGCACACTTATAGTTTATATAGAGAAGAAAAGCAGAATGCTAATATTTTGTTTCAAAATTATGCATAAAAAATACATTAAATTAATAAAAAAAAAAACATTACACACAGTACCACGTATTTGACACATACACGCATTTATACATTTTTGTTTATTTTTAAAGTCTGTGGTCAAATTGAGAATAAATTAATATTGTTTGTCTTTAATATTATATATGTATATATTATATATAATATTATATACTTAATTTTATATATGTATAGTCTAACTTAGTTATCTAAAATAAATCAAAACTAGAACAAAAATAATCAACACTATATTTGATATATTATTATAAAAAAAATGATTAAAATAAATCAAAACTAGAACAAAAATAATCAAAATAATTTTTTTTTAATAATAATTACATAGATGCTTATACCTTTTTCAAGTCGGTTACTAAAATAACAAATAAGAATGTAAAAATATGAGATAATATATAATATTTATATGATTGCCGCTTCAGATAGATAATGACGCATGTATCTTTACAGAATTATCTGATTTTGATGATTGTTTTATTGAAAGCTATCGAAATATATCTTCAAATGTGAAATCCGTATAAAAAATATACGAGTATGTACAGTAAGAAAATAAAATATTTAATTCAAATATATCGTATCATGAATTATATTAATATTCCCATGGCCGAACCAAAAACTGGGATGAAAAGTTGAATAAGCCTTTCTCCTACGAAATACTACGTATGTACCAAATTTTATCACGATTGGTATAGTCAAGGCGTAACAAACAAAATAATATACTCAGTATCATATTTATTAGCAAAGATTAGAAATTTAAATAAATTTCCGGGAAACAGAAGTTACTAGAAACAATATTATTCAATAAAACTGTCAAGTTATAAAGTTATTGGCGGAGATATATGTCGTGGCCAGAACTGACATTTTCATAAATTTGTCGATTCATTCATAAAATCATAATTTCATAATATACTCAGCTGTTCTATACATTTTGTTATAATGTTGCCATTATAATTTTGTATTCTATCAACTATTTTCTGCAAATAAATTAATTTAATTCAATTATTTATTATCATAACATACAAATTATTATCTAACTACTTAGAATTGATAATTGTTTCATCAGCATGCATTTAATAAGGACTTAAATTTATTTTGTTACCGCACTATGTCGTTTTTATTTGTTTGATGTTTAATATTATTTGAATTGTTTAACTATAAACAAAACGTGTACAAAAAAAAATCTATGTAAGTAACGTAAGTAGGTGTACAAAAGTAGAGAATAAAGATTAAAAATGCATACGACTACTACGTTCTGTCCACGACATATGGAAGGGGAAAATCCATTTACGCAATAGATATCATATAATGTACTCGTAGTTATATATACTTGTATTTTAAATATATAAAAAACAGTTTGATATCATCGGAGCTACACTAAGATAAATATTTCCATTTTTTTATTAATATTTTCTATCTAAGGGATTTTAAATAAGTTACTGTGCTTACTACGTCGCTTTGACATGTCCTGATTTCTTTCGGGAGTCTTACAGGAGACTTACGGGATTTTCGACGATTACGTCTTCACCCGAAAGACGGGAATCTTCCGTATTAAGTCAAAGCAATTGTCTGAATCAGGTGTGAGCAAACCTTTTTAATCAACAGGCAATTTTTTTTCATGTAATATGTATTTATTTACAAAAAAATATATCCATTTGTTTATATCAGTTGTCTAGTACCCATAATAGAAGCTCTGCTTAGCTTGGGACTAAATGCGTTGTGTGAATGGTCCTGTATTAATATCCTGAATATTCGACTTTACTATATCGTAACTCTTGCATATGTTTCTTTTTTTATGGATACGTTACTAGCTGTTCCCGCGACTTCGTCCGCGTAGATTTTATTTTTCTAAAATCAAAGTAGCCTAAGTTACTCCTTATTACATCAGATAAATGCCAAAAAAACTCCCATCAAAATCGGTCCAGCCATTTCAGAGATTAGCCGAAACAAACAAACAGACAAAAATTGTAAAACTGTTATTTTGGTGTATTTCCCGTATTTGTCAACCTTTTGTCTTATCATAGAGTACCATCAGGATTACAATCTTAAGACCCTATATATGTTATAGGGATGTGACAGTGTGTGGAGATCTGTATTCTTGTTAGCATAATAATCGATTTTAAAAATATATTTCATATACAATCAATTTCTGAGCCCCCAGGCCTTGTTTCCTTGAAGCCCGCAAGCATGTTAAATTACGCTGTAATGATTTGTCTAGTTTTCTTATTTTTTTGGGACAGCATGTAAAAAATAGATTTTAAATAATCAATTCTTTTGAGATATTTGATAAAGATTTATTCTTTAACCGTTTAATTTTCACATCCCTAATATATTTTACGGTCATATGTGACAATGGCCTCCCTGTTAGCCAGTTCCTATAGAGCCGGTCAAGGCTTCCATCAATGAAGGCTTACCGCGGCCCTTATATGCATTTAATTGCATTTGCACTCTGTTATAGGTAAACTGTTAGTGTAACTAGTTCTCAATAATAATCGTGTACAATTAAATTTGCATTTTAATCAAGTTTTCATTGAGGATCACTTTGACGGCCTCGGTGATCTAGCGGTTTAGCACACAGCTTTACTTCCATTAGTCACGGGTTCTATTCCTCGCAGCTACAAACATTTGTATTCATGAGTATGATTCTTTGAATCTGTCTGGGTATTTTCTATGTATATTATGTATGTATTTACAAAAAAAATCTAAGTATTTATATCAGTTGTATGGTACTCTACAACTAGCTCTGTATCGTGGAACTAGATGGCGCTGTGTTAATTGTCTAGGGTTATTTATTTACTTATTTTATTTTATAATGACAAGACTGTAATCCCAGAGGGGGTAGTCAGAGCCATTGTCAACACTTCTGGTCTAGTTGGGTTACGGTTTAGATAAGACAGCATTCCGAATGAGCGGTAGATTAAAAAAAATGTGATGCTTATTCAAAAGTGCTTCAATGTAAATTTATTTGAATAAATGATTTTCTATTCTTCTATTCTATTCTATAATTTCATTTTGACAATAATACGATAACATATGCTTCACATTAACATATTTTTAGGTCACGTCTCTATAATTGAATTTAAAAATGAATCTGTGTTTCTATAATCATGTGCAAACTCATTTGAGAATAATAAAGGCCGAGTTTCTTCTCAGTTCTTCTCAGCTTGTAAACACTCTTATAACACTCTTATGATTGTAATGAATATTATTCTATTCTATTCTATTCTTAACTGACGTTAGATTTGGTTATATAAAAGTATAATAGACCTACATGAATAAAATAATATTTTTTTAATTTGATTTTTGTTTATATCGTGAACGCAACACTTGAAATGCCCATTTCGCCCGATATATTTTGAATCCACGTGACAAGGGGCGTGAATACATGCTTCTCTCAGATTATTTTATGATTTGTTAACGGTGTTTTCGTCACCGTAGAGTCAGTCAGAAATATAAATTGGCGCACTAAGTTTTTACTCATATCGGCCAGATTTAAACTCATAAAACCGACCGACCTACCGAGTACCTATAAAACTTCATCATAATCGGAACACTAGTTAATTAACATTCCATCGCGGACAAACGACATGACACGAAATGTCTATATATTATAATTTAGTCCTCTAGCGTCTTTGAATGTAATATTAAAAACTACTTGAGCACTGACAACTAAAAAAAAAATCGTCCCTGACTATAATTTAATATTTATGGATATGCACTTTAATTTATTTATATTTCTGTGAAGCAGAACATTCATTTGACATGCTTGTGAATAAAAATAAACACACCGATAATCCACGACTGCGTATAATTAATGACACAATCGTTCATACAATAGAATCTGCTGAGTAAATACACCGGACATTGTATTTCTTAACGAGTCTCCATTTATCAGAAAAAAAAAATGAGAAAATTACAAGCGACGAACAGCACGATACAGCTATAATCGTTGGCTAGATACCTATGAAGATAGACGAATACGTGTGCCGAGCAGTGGCTTAATTAACATAAATTAATAAATATTTAAAACTGTTTAAAATTACGCGACGTAAAACTATAGAAATAATTTTCAGTCATCCATTAATAACCGCGCATGTGAATTAGACGTACTTTGTTGACGTACGAAGTGAATTTAAAAATAATATTTATTTGAATTTGGAATGTATACGAGTTTGTGATATTAATACAACAATGTTGGGGAAACGTTCGAGATTGTTCTTCGGGATATCGCTGGGAGCACTGATTATATCTATTATATTAGCTTTTTGGGGATTTCCGAAAATTATCAGCAATCAAATTCAAAAGGTAAGTTTTATTATATCTTTTTATAACATAGGAACAAACAATCTTTCGATTCACCTGATGGTAAGTGATTACCGCCGCCCATGAGCACCCGTAACATCAGGGGAATTGCAAGTGCGTTGCCGGCCTTTTAAAAAGGAATAAGCTCTTTTCTTGAAAGTTTCAATATCGTATCGGTTCGGAAATATCGTATATGGAAGGTGATTCTACAATCTGAAAGTGCGTTGTAAAAAGTTTGTTAAAAAACGCACGGTGGAGGACCGCTATTCGTCCAGTTGATCAGGATGATATTTTGGACCATATAAATTAAATCTATTATTATATTATTAAGCTTTTTGTTTTCTTAGATAGACACTTAGCGCGTTCTGAGTAACTATAAAGTTAAAGTTCGAAAACTCTTACAATGTTAGAAAGTCCATTTATCGAGAAATATATAACATCGGGCTTTATAACATCACGCTATGACCAATAGGAGCGTAGCATTAAGGAAAATTGGAGAACTCCAAAGGAACGCCAAGCAACATGCTATTCCGGAATAAACGGATAGAAATTGCTTTGAAAGTAGAAGTATGTAATATTATCTTATCTGTGGTAGAAGTAAGTTACTAGATCAGAATGTATTCCGTTGCTTTAATTCATCTGTGTACTATAAATGTAAAAAAACACTTCTAGATTAGTAAACTTAAATGCTCTGTGTAACCTGTTTTACTTTTATAACTTAACACTACTGTCGTACGTTTTAATCTATGTTTTATTGGATATTTTATGGACACTATACTTAATTACATTAGGTATAAGTAATATGAATTAAATATAAACATAACCTTTAACATAGATTGTCTTTGCCTTAGAGGCCGCTACATAATAAAAATAAATCCATTATCGAATATTTTTTCATTTTTTGTTCCGTATCCATAAATTCTTTTTTTAAAATTGATTAGGCATTGACGAAAAACCCGCCAAAAAGTACATACTGACCATAAACATAACCTCGCAATAACTAAAACTGATAGTTTTGTATTGATGTTATGATGTTACACTTAAAAAGTAAATGTATGACAAGACTTTTTCGAACTATTTTAATACTATTGGCCGCAGTTGGCCCTCAGCTTTACCGAACGAATGTAGATAAAACTCCAAACACTCGGAAGGACTTACGGAGCGGCTAAAAGCAAGCTCCTGCCTGACGGATGAGACTGTAGTCTGAGGGCACCGTTAGGAGTTCGAACCTCAGCTCTGGCCGTAATTTCAATTCCGGTCTGAATTGGATGGGATCGATCAGAGGAATAGAGTGACAATGCCGCCAAAATGTATAAGTAAAAAAATTCAATAAAAATATGAGTATTCGAGTACTAACTCAAATATGGTTGTGTGCAATGATGGCTGGCTCGTCCATCATACCCGTGAACTTGTGCTGCTTGTGGGGACTGGTCTGTTTGGGTTGCGATCACTGATTAGACTATTTGCTTTTGCAATAGTATATGCTGGAGGTCACTCTATTCTCCCAATTTTGAATTTAAAAATTAATCTGTATTATTGTAAACATGTATAATATTAATTTGAAAAGAATACGAGCTGAGTTTCTTGTCAGTTCTCATCTCGAAATCATTCCGAACTGACGGTAGATTTGACATATCATAAGAGTCTGTAATAGACCTACATGAAAAGATATTTAGAATTTGAACTCACTTTTTAAATATTTCTATCTGTTAGGTTTTTAATTGTCTTCTTCTATACTGGCTATCTGGCTCTATTCGATTGTTTTTGACTATAATCGAAATGTTACACTCTAGTTAAAATGTTATTCTGTTAATTTAAATGTTTATAAATCTACCTGCTAATAACCTTATAGTTTTTTTACTCAAATTATAAAAACTAAACTGGTTACCTTACATTGGTAGTTGCTTCTTGCTGCCTATTTTATAAATAGATTGGCAATTTTGATTACTAAATATATTATATTCATGTAAGTTTGACGGACTCGATGATTTAGCGGCGACTTAGCACCGTCCACTCCGATGGTCGCAGTTTCGATTCCTCGCCCGGTACAAAAATTTGTATTCTTAAGTATGATTGTATTGGTCTAGGTGTTTTCTATGTACATTTTGTAGGTATTTAAAAAAATGTTTAGTTTCTATCGGATGTTTAGTGTCCATAATACAAGCTTGCAAGAATAAGTACAATCAAGATAAGCATTTATCTTGGGACTAGATTTCTAGGACTTAGGACCTTAGGACTAGATTGTCTTGGTTATTATTATTAAATTTATAGAAGACACTTGATGCGTTTTTTATTTCAGTTTTTTTTCGTCCAGTTCGATAAATACATAGTTTCAAAATGATGAGAACTGACAAGAAACTTAATTGTCTGGTTATATTTATACTTAGTATAAGCATTGTACACATAATAAGAGGTTTTTTTTAATGGATGACAATGGAATGGGCACCCATGGAGGATGATAAAAAGAGAATTAGGCTAATGAGCTAACTGACCTGCAGTTAGACCATCATGATGAAATCACTGGATTTTCAGGGGGATCCGCGTGGAGGTGGTCCTGACATTGTACATTGTTAACAATGGAATATTATCTTATCTGTGACAATGGAGTCCTAGTTAGTATTATTAACAATTACCGGAGGGGGACCTCATGATATAAGATTGCCAGTAGTAAATGTAACAACACAAGTTTAATTTAATAAATAAATTCCTTGATTATAGACAAGCAAGGAGAGCTTAGCTTAGCTTAATTCATTGCAATATGTCAGCAAATTTGAATAAGCATGTACTATATTATTTGTTTAATAATATTTAATAATAGCAACTTTATTCGTTTGATCATAATTAGGATGAAAAGTGTATTTATATAAAAATATAATAAATTATTAATTCTGTATACACTTAATAGTAAAAATAACCATAGACAGTTCAGACGGCGACATCCAGACCCAAGTTATGCAGAGCTTGTGTTATGGATACTAAACAACTGATATAAATACACGGATATGATCCATTTTGCAAATATATACATAATATACATAGAAAACACCGATACAAACAATCATACTCATGAATACAAATGTTTATGCCGTGCGAGAAATCGAACCCGCGACCATCGGTAGCAAAACGGTATGTTACACCACTATACCACTGAGGCTGTGAACTGTAGACATGTATGTCTACAAGTAAATTAATTTTACTAGTAAAAACTTGAACTTTAAACTCATTATTCGAGTATGTACGAAGATATAAACATGATTCTGTTTTCATCCGTGGTAAAAAACATACTGAGGTGACGTCAAAAGATGACGTAGGTATATTGTGTAAATCAGAGTTTAAATTGTGATTGGAAATCATACCGGTTATAGGATTGTATGTGTAAACATTGAGCTAATTATAGAAAACTGGAGATTAAATTCCATTCTAAGAAATCAGGTTATACCGGATGATGTTGTTTACCGTGCAGTAAAAATAGGCATAATACTAGTAGGTACGCAAATAAAAAAGATTATAAAATTAAATAAAAGTAAAAAAAATTCGTCATCTGTATGAGAGAAATTTCTGTCATTCTTTCATCGCCTCTTGGCTTTAATTTATTTTATTTTAAAAATTTAAATAATTAAAATTTTATTTTTGACAACTATACAAAAATTATTAAAAAATCCGGTCTTTAAGCAGTATCTCTACTCGCAAAAAAATGTAGGTATATACCTCACTAGCTACTCGCCCCGGCTTCGCACGAGTGTACATGTATTATATCACAGATAACACAATATTACTATATTATATATATAAACCTGCGTCTTGAATCATTCTATCTATTAAAAAAAAGTATCATCATCCGTTGCGTAGATTTAAAGAATTAAGCATACATAGGGACAGACAGCGACAGCGCCTTTGTTTTATACAATGTAATAATGATACCAACTGAAAATTAAATACTTAACGTATACAGCTGTATTTTAAGACGTTTTTTTTCTACGTGTATCTATTTTGATATTTCAGAATAAAGTACCTACAAGATATATTGCGCGTTTAATTTAGGCACACATTGCGAATTTGCGATATCAACCGAGACAGGCGCTTTGAAAAAAACGCCGCACACAAATACCATCTAAATTCAATCTTTTTCTAATAATAGTCAAAGTAAACGCAATATATATAAATATGTTATATACATATATATTAGTATAGCCAGCCCTTATTCCTCAATTAATTTATCTTGTTAGTAGTGTCGTCATCAATAGAAAGATAATAAGAACTCTTATTATTAATATTATAAATGCGAAAGTTTGTCAGTATGGATGGATGTTTGTTACTCTTTCACGCAAAAAGTACTGAAAGGATTTTGATGAAACTTTACACTAATAAAGCTTATACATCAGAATAACACATAGGTTGATAATACATACCACATAGGTTAATAGGACGAAGCTAATAAATATATGTAAGTATATCAAAATACAAAGATGATTGACTTGGTACTCAAGACTGACCAAGACTTTTAAGGCCTTTAGGCTGGTATAACCCTCCACTAAGCTCCGACGTCCGAAGCATTTATTTCCCATGGGAACAGTGGCTACATCCGATCCTATCCGATACAGTGCCGAAAAAGTAATAGTAGCAACCGCTATGAGCACTACGCAATAAGGAGCCTATTTACAACTGTCTAAATATTAAAGAACAAGGAAATAACAACAATTCAGTTTTATAATATTATAAATAGAATAAAAAAAAATACATTTTAAAAACTCTAAACCCAACATCGGGCCATTTGAATTAATTGTTACAATTTATTGTAGCGCTGTGACTATCATCTCGCTACTGTTGCGTTATAATGATGTGATGAGGTGTCGCTACAGAATATATTGTTTATTGTAGTACCTAGTTAGTGAGTATATAGGTGAAATGATTGTACTATTCATTGTACATTAGTAAGTTTATTTGGTAGTGTGCTACATGACTTATTAGTAACGCGTACATTCGACGCGGAGTCGTAACATGGA